CTGTTAGACGGTAGTTGATGCATCAAGCTTCAAATTTAAGTAGCTTGAGAGATGCAGTAGCTCGGGAGATGTGAAATTACATAAATGCGGTAGTGTTGAACGTTTGTTATATTGTTAATATCTTTTAAGCCCAAGATATCTTTAAAAATCATGTTTTAAAAATAAATATCTCAAAAACTATGCAATATAGACCCCATACTGCTTCATAGCTTGTATATAAATATGGCCATTCTGCTGTTGTGGTTATCTTGAATGTCCTATAATATTTAGGAGCTGAGATGGATAGAAAAATCATATATTTGCGCCTGAGGGCAATTTAGAAATGTTATCACCTAGGCCAGGGTTGGACTACTGATAAAAGTTGGCACTCAAAATCAAATTATTCTAGCTCAGAAGACAGAATGACCTTTAGACCTTACGAAGGACACTGTGTCGAGTAAAATTGTATACATTGAAGTGCTTATTTCACTTAACCTAGCTGCTAGGGTAGTTTTCTTGTTTGTTTGTAACTTGCGCTTCAGACTCAGTAAATATCAGTTTTTCTCTTTTTTATCCAAAAGTGAGTCCCGGGGAGCTTCAGCACCTTAATAGTGTCAATATAAACTTACATATTGCGGTAATTTTAAGCCAAAGATTAAGTTTCTACGGCCTTCAGAAGCTGAGATAAAAATTTCTCACATACACGCCTAATATGAAATATGGGCGTGGTTCCCCAAGGCTGAACTAATGGCTCAACATGCCCAATTAATTGAATTTAGTGACTTATATAACCTATTTAACTCGATTCAGCAGTGTAAATACAAACTAAACACCTCCCTGCTGCTAGAGTAGACAACTTCGAATTTTCCGAATTTTCCCCCAAAAATTGTGTAAATGGGCGTGGTCAGGGTGCAACTCCACTTTTATTTACCCACATTTTATTTTATTATGTTCTAGTAATACTGGTAGCATCATAACAAGCCATTTAGAGACCCCCATCAAATATTCTAGGCAAATTTCAATAATTTTGGTCAAATTTTTCCCACGCTTTAAAAAGGGCGTGGTCACGGGTTTAAAGACACATAAAAAATTATCCACCCAAATTTTTTTTGAAGTAGAGACCCTAGGGAGCACAAATAACATCTCAAACCTTCTAAACTCGCTAAGTTGTGCCAGGTTTTGACCAGATACAGGATTACCTATTCTTTACAACTATTCTTACAATACTCATTACCATGCACCTATTCTTTACAACTATTCTTACAATACTCATTACCATGCACCTATTCTTTACAACTATTCTTACAATACTCATTACCATGCACCTATTCTTTGCAGCTATTCTTACAATACTCATTACCATGCACCTATTCTTTACAGCTATTCTTACAATACTCATTACCATGCACCTATTCTTTACAACTATTCTTACAATACTCATTACCATGCACCTATTCTTTACAGCTATTCTTACAATACTCATTACCATGCACCTATTCTTTACAACTATTCTTACAATACTCATTACCATGCACCTATTCTTTACAACTATTCTTACAATACTCATTACCATGCACCTATTCTTTACAACTATTCTTACAATACTCATTACCATGCACCTATTCTTTACAGCTATTCTTACAATACTCATTACCATGCACCTATTCTTTACAACTATTCTTACAATACTCATTACCATGCACCTATTCTTTACAACTATTCTTACAATACTCATTACCATGCACCTATTCTTTACAACTATTCTTACAATACTCATTACCATGCACCTATTCTTTACAGCTATTCTTACAATACTCATTACCATGCACCTATTCTTTACAGCTATTCTTACAATACTCATTACCATGCACCTATTCTTTACAACTATTCTTACAATACTCATTACCATGCACCTATTCTTTACAACTATTCTTACAATACTCATTACCATGCACCTATTCTTTACAACTATTCTTACAATACTCATTACCATGCACCTGTTCTTTACAACTATTCTTACAATACTCATTACCATGCACCTATTCTTTACAACTATTCTTACAATACTCATTACCATGCACCTCTTCTTTACAACTATTCTTACAATACTCATTACCATGCACCTGTTCTTTACAACTATTCTTACAATACTCATTACCATGCACCTATTCTTTACAACTATTCTTACAATACTCATTACCATGCACATATTCTTTACAACTATTCTTACAATACTCATTAGCATGCACCTATTCTTTACAACTATTCTTACAATACTCATTACCATGCACCTATTCTTTACAACTATTCTTACAATACTCATTACCATGCACCTATTCTTTACAGCTATTCTTACAATACTCATTACCATGCACCTGTTCTTTACAACTATTCTTACAATACTCATTACCATGCACCTATTCTTTACAACTATTCTTACAATACTCATTACCATGCACCTATTCTTTACAACTATTCTTACAATACTCATTACCATGCACCTATTCTTTACAACTATTCTTACAATACTCATTACCATGCACCTATTCTTTACAGCTATTCTTACAATACTCATTACCATGCACCTGTTCTTTACAACTATTCTTACAATACTCATTACCATGCACCTATTCTTTACAACTATTCTTACAATACTCATTACCATGCACCTATTCTTTACAACTATTCTTACAATACTCATTACCATGCACCTGTTCTTTACAACTATTCTTACAATACTCATTACCATGCACCTGTTCTTTACAACTATTCTTACAATACTCATTACCATGCACCTGTTCTTTACAACTATTCTTACAATACTCATTACCATGCACCTATTCTTTACAACTATTCTTACAATACTCATTACCATGCACCTATTCTTTACAACTATTCTTACAATACTTTGCCCCCTTGAACATGTTTTACACAAAAACACAGTAAACCGAACAGCCAATGCAACTGAATATCTAACTGTGTGAAATCTACAATAAAAACACAGCAAGAATTAGCAGAAAATGCCTCTACATTAAATACGATACTCATTTTCAAATAAGATACTACACATGGCCCATACTTATCTCGGAAGCCAGTCGATTCCATGCATGGTAATGAGTATTGTAAGCAGTGGCGTAACGAAGGGCCCTGCTGACCCCGCTGTGCAGGGGGGCGCCGTCTTAGGGGGGCGCCAAATCGTCGTTTGAATGTGGGACAATTTCGAAAACTTAACTAAAGTACTAGCAAAACTGCGCGTTTTGCTCTAGATACACACTTTTTTAGAGATTTTTACCGGCGTATCTTCTAAAATCACCTAATTTGTTCAATTTTAGGGAGGGGCACCAAAAGGGGAGGGGGCGCCAACAGGGGGGCGCCTTTTCGGCAGGGGGGCGCCAACAGGCAACGTTACGCCACTGATTGTAAGAATAGTTGTAAAGAATAGGTGCATGGTAATGAGTATTGTAAGAATAGTTGTAAAGAATAGGTGCATGGTAATGAGTATTGTAAGAATAGTTGTAAAGAATTGGTGCATGGTAATGAGTAAATCTTACAATACTCATTACCATGCACCTGTTCTTTACAACTATTCTTACAATACTCATTACCATGCACCTATTCTTTACAACTATTCTTACAATACTTATTACCATGCACCTATTCTTTACAACTATTCTTACAATACTCATTACCATGCACCTGTTCTTTACAACTATTCTTACAATACTCATTACCATGCACCTATTCTTTACAACTATTCTTACAATACTCATTACCATGCACCTATTCTTTACAACTATTCTTACAATACTCATTACCATGCACCTATTCTTTACAGCTATTCTTACAATACTCATTACCATGCACCTGTTCTTTACAACTATTCTTACAATACTCATTACCATGCACCTATTCTTTACAACTATTCTTACAATACTCATTACCATGCACCTATTCTTTACAACTATTCTTACAATACTCATTACCATGCACCTGTTCTTTACAACTATTCTTACAATACTCATTACCATGCACCTGTTCTTTACAACTATTCTTACAATACTCATTACCATGCACCTGTTCTTTACAACTATTCTTACAATACTCATTACCATGCACCTATTCTTTACAACTATTCTTACAATACTTTGCCCCCTTGAACATGTTTTACACAAAAACACAGTAAACCGAACAGCCAATGCAACTGAATATCTAACTGTGTGAAATCTACAATAAAAACACAGCAAGAATTAGCAGAAAATGCCTCTACATTAAATACGATACTCATTTTCAAATAAGATACTACACATGGCCCATACTTATCTCGGAAGCCAGTCGATTACTCATTGCCATTTACCTTATCATTTTAAATCGTTTAACTCATTTTAATATCGTTACGTTGCTAATTTCTACAGATCTTAAAAGAGACAGTGCGTGACTGCACTGAACACTTTTAATAAGAGGTGTTCTATAACCCTAATGTTTTCGCGCGCGCAGTCAAAATTACAAAATATAAGCAAAATATGTGGTGGTCACCAGTGTTGATCATTATCAATATGGCTCATGCAATGGTCATTGGACTGACATCAGTCCATATCTGGAATACCCACGTGGTCTTTATTTGCAAGTTAATGATGCAGTCCGAAGCAAATTAAGACAATAAGGTCGATAGAACACGATAAAATATTTAGAGTAACCATTACGGTAGAGTTACAGTCTGCAATGGTCACTACTGTATAGTGTATACATATTACGAGTATTTAATCTTTAAATGTATGTATCATAATCGTGAGCAGCATTCTGTAGTTGAGTTTGAATTGGTAAAATATTAGTTTAGCAGAGCATAAAGCGAACCATGCAACTCGGTCTTCTAAGACATATTATAAAATAGCTACATGCTTGTATGGCCTAAACACATTTGGAGTACATATTTATTTTTGAAGCGTGTAAAAAATACCAAAAGTTATTGATTTAGTTATACAATAACACAATTACGTATTTGAGTCAAATTCAACAAAAATAACCTGTAGTAAGATAAGAGCCCATCGCTGAGAACGAACCACCGTTGTCTGTAACCCTTAATGTAATTAGTCCATTTTAGCAGCCAGCCTCTGTACTCAGAGCTATCAGATCCTGTAGCTTCGCCGCTACTGCTCATCCCTGAATATTATACGTCATCACCATGGTTACCATAAAGTCATCACACTGGTTACCACGACGTTTTCACTAACATATCCAATATCCATTAACAAAAGTGGTGATAACTTCTGACTCAGGCAATATAGCACAACTTAATAGAAATAGGGATCATCAAGTCATATTTTCCTTAATGTTAATTTTAATTTGATTTTAGGTTTTGTGAAATTTATATTTACCCTTCATAGGGCTTCAGTACATGTACAGAAGAAAATTCTGCAGACCATTTAAGTTTTAAACAGCAGGGTTTTTGTTGAAACACAGGCTCACATAAAAAAGGGCATGCAACATACAAAATAAGAGAAAAGCACACAAACAAAAGCAGATTCAACTCATTCAAACATTGTATTATCATCATGCAGGTAAATCTTGTGACAAATTATATGTAGAACTAGAAGATAAGCATATTATCGACTTTAAAATACCTAAATAATGATTACGTGTAGTAGCTAAGAGAGATTTTAGCGACACTCCCACTGTCACTCCTCTAAAACATTTTAAAAGTAAAACCATTGTAGTAGCTGCTTAGCTGCAGCAATCCAGTTAACCGCTCTTAAATGCAAGTTTCTCAACTATGAACTCGATTAAGAAGATGATCCCTTGCCAGGAGATCTATTACATGGTATGTTTAGTGCAGCTGATATTACTGTACCACTTATACCTAAACTAGATCTCCCTAATCTGCCTTCCTCTAATTTCACACGACAGTTCTACACAATCAGGATCGTTAGTGTGTACTTAAAAGTCTGAGCCATCTAACATTCTAACCGTGTGCTCTAGTGTGTTCAAGTGTGTTCAAGTGTGCTCTAGTGTGTTCAAGTGTGTTCAAGTATGTTCAAGGGTGTAATGTTTAAAGAAATGGTTAAATTATCATAAGTAAAAGTTACAAGAGTTACGTAACTAGTAAAGATTTATAGTGTGTCATGGCATGCATTCCTGTCATTCATACTCCACTGGGTATACTGGGTGTACACTGTACATTGTGAACATTATACATTGCAATTGTTTACATCTGGAGCTAACACCCGGAACTTGGGTTACAGTTCACTAGGTAAGTAACTTTATATGGGGAAGGTTGGTGATTACACATGTCTGAAAACTTGGCACTCGGCCGAGAGATCCAGGGAAGTGGACATAGTGTTAAACAGGCTGAGCAGCTGTTACCACTGCTCGGTGTAGTAAGGATGTAACCATGTGAATACATAGTGTAATATATATATACACTCTATAATACATTGCTGGATACCTTAACCTTACTTGTCAAACGTTAGCTCTACAAGATCGAGTAGAGAGCACAGAGAGAGAGAGCGTAATGACACTTGTTTCTAGCTAGGACAGAGTCTAATCATTGCAAACGAAACTAAGGAGTTGCTGCATTTGCATACAGTAGACCTCACTGTCAGAGCACTCTACGTAACAAGACAAACCAGTAGTATACATGTTGAGAGCGTACAGCAACCAATCATGATGAATAACATTAACGCTTCGAAGGTAAAGTGTTAAACAGCTTTAGTGAGGGAGAGACAGAGCAGGTATATAATGAGAACTGTAAACACTGTGAAGGTCACGTGACATGGATCTTCAATCCCTTGATTTGATGAGACTGCAGCCCGCAGTGAAAGAACTCAATAGAAAATTAAATGGACTTCATTGCGCAACTCTATTGGTCTCAGTTCTGAAGAAATCATCACAAAACCCGCGTACCAAATCCACACACATTCACTGTACGAAAGGCTGAAAAACGAAACTGACATTTTAGTTGTGTTGAACTACAACATGAAAAAAGGTCTTGTAGCTCCACTCAACCTTCAAGAGCGCACAGCTCCAGTTGAAAGTCTCGTTTTTAAAAAAGCACAAACTTTACAGATCAAGAGCACGTATTCAGATAAGCTACACAACAGCTAACTAGCCAGACCCAAATACGGGAACATTACAAAGTAGAAGACAACCTAGTAACTTGACTCCCTCTCAGCTCATTGCAATGGAACTCGATTTAGATTACTGTGAGAAGGCTTCTGGATAAGTATCATTTATACGATAAAGCTTTCGTTTGGGAGCTTCTAAAATCGTATGATTATCGTCGTCAGCTTAGATTAAATTGTACAAGTCACGTGATAATAGTAGCAGCCAACCAAAGTCCGCCAGATTAGAACTCAGCCGTCTACCGATACATTCGCAAATTAACCTGAATCATCTGAATTCTACCTGTATTCTATTATTTTATAGCCTAACATGTAATATTACATGTGACAATTCCTTTCATGTTGAATAATGTGCATTGTGCACGCTAAAAATAACTTGTAAAGGTGTGCACTCATAGCGCAGCTGATATTGATAGATTCCATTGCTGCATAACTCTTTTATTATCCCCAATGTGAGAGCTCGCTCCAGGGAGATCTAGAACAATGCACCGTACAAAGCATCACATACTTTACAAGCTATTATGTATATTGAGAGTTCACTATAACATCTAGAGGAACCATAAACGTTATCTCGTCGCCAATTGCGAGCTCTAACGGGTCTCCTCAAGTGACTCTCGGATCAGATGGTGGTTCAAGGGTGGACTGCTGGGGCGCCTGACAGGAAACCGTATTGCGATTAAAGCCCCGAAACGGTGTCAGGTTGGTAACTGATGATTCTGATCCATGCTCCTGTGAGTTTGCTGTTGTATCTCAACTTGCTAAACTGAGGCATCTCCGCATCTTGGGTGAATATGCGTACATCTTCATACTAAACCCAGGTGTGGCATGTGTCAGTGAATACGGGCGAGCGGATGCAATAGCGAAGGTGGTGTGGCAAGGCCTAAAAGACACAGTCAGATAGTTGTCAGCTCGCTGACTGTAAGGGAGAAGGTATATCCGTATTTCGCTGCTACTGATGCAGTCCTTGATCTGGCAATCAAGGCTTCTCTGTTTTTCGTCTAACTATGTACCGTTGGGCTTGTGGAACCCGTAAGGGGGACATACATAGGTTGGAATGGTTTTGTGCACCAAGAGGAGTGAGGGAATGAGGGTTGAAGAGAGAGAGCTTGAGAGTTGTTAGGGTGGTTAGGATCAGTAGGTGGAGTGTTTGGTTGGAGCTTTCTGTTTTTGCTGTATAGCATTTTAGTCACTCCGCAGTTTATTAACTGTGTCTCAACTCAGCTAGTTTAATGGCCACCTATTGATACAGATTTATTGAATAGAACGAGCCAATTTAATCTGATATCACAACTGAAAACAGCCCGCTGAAAGATCAGAATTTCTAAGAATTACACTAAAAGCTAATTCTATAGACACTTACCCCACTTAATATGTAGACAATGCCGTCCATGGCTCTCCACTACTGTCCATGGCTCTCCATGACCGAAATTAATTAAATTATACTAAGCCGGAAATATAGAGCCCAGCATTTGAGCCCAGCATATCTCAGATGGTTCATGCTGTGAATTGTGATTAGCTATTATAGCGCAACATGCTCTCCAAAATTTAACACCTACGTTTTTTGGGACAGCATGCTTTAAACGGCTAGACTCACGTTCGAGATAAATATACTCAATCTCCATCTCAAAGTGCTACGAAAGAGTGAGAACATTAAAATTAGCACCCAAAAAAAGAGAACAGCGAAACACATCACGCGGCAACCTACGTTCTTCGTCGTTATTATTAGATCGCTTCTTTTTCTTGGACACAGCACGCCAGCTAGAGTTAAGGGACACAGGGGCCATACATGTGCACCCTTACTGCCAAAAACACCCCTAATAGGTGTTTACAAATATAATTAACATGAAGCTTAGTTCTTTCGTACAGAATATTAACTGAGTTTTTAAAAGTATACAATCTTGTTAGTTGTAGTTCAGTGAAACAACGCTAAATTTGCTATCTGAAATAAAGAAAGTCTGGTCAAAGTTACATTTAACATGTTTATGATCCTGTACACATTACCTACAGCTGATTTGGTGATGTGCAAGCTTTATTTACAATTTTATAATAAAAACAAACTGTGTGATAAAATCAGCACCTTCCCTATACATTTAAGAAAAACAAACACACCAAAATAGTCATGTTTATTGAATTGATATAATCGTCAACCAGGCAAAGGAGGTGCTACAGGCGTGAAAATATTATAAATAAAAATACATAATAATGTGAAAAATATTGTCTGAATTTGCTTGTTAAAGATAACGTTACTTTAATTTGGTCAAATTTATTCACTACAGCTACAGTGTCATAACATAATTTAATGATATAATTATATGTTCCTCTATAAAGAATATTTTCTACTAGCTCATAACCAAGAAAAGCTAAGTTAAGATGTATCGTATGTTCTCAAAAAAGATCTCGTATCATGTAACCTCTCTTGAACTGTCTTAAGGAAATTCTTAATGGCATCCTCATTATCTTCTGCTGAGGTAGAAACAGAGGAAGTGGAGGAATTACTGGTGACTGATTCATCAAATGTTACAAATTTTTGAAGGGATTCGTCAAATTGTGAGTCATTAGGAGCAGGACAAAAGGTACTTTTAACATGTACATTGTTCAAAGCTACAGGAAAGCTCATCTCAGGAGCAGGGATAAAATTCTGTTTCCCAGGGTGTTTTGCTTTGGATTCCAAAATGTCCAGTCTAGCACTGATAGTGACAAGATAATTCTTAATGTCAGCTATGTCAGCAGCATGGCAGCATGGGGTGGCACAGGTTAGAGAACCAGATTCCTGTTTTTTTGTTTCAACAGATACTTTTTCCTCGACCTCCCTAGTAACACTAACAGGGATCATCTCACATGTCTCACCAACAGGTACTAACTGAACACTGTTCAGAACTGTGTGGGGCGTACTGTCCACAATCTCCATTGGATTAGCAGTCAAATGATCAAGTGCAAAGACCTCCCTGGCTCCCATCTCGCTGTAAACTTTGGTCTGTGGAGTTGCAGGGGGTATGCTCTGTATGTTTTCTATGGGAATCTCAATAATACTTTCATCAATCACATCAGACAAGTCGTAGGGTTGAGAGATGTTGGGTTGAGGAGCCCTCCTCATGGGGGAGTGCTCGGGGCAGGGAAGTGGAACTTCCTCTGGTTCAACAGTCTCATCAGGCAGTTCGACTGCAACTAACGATGACTGATCAAATTTAGGAATCTGCTTGTTTACTGATCTCGTTTTGTTTGGATTAGCATTTTCCTTGTTGGATACGTTCTTGGGCTTCTGTTTTCTAAAACTTCTACACTTGTCAATGACATACTGATAAATTGAATTAGTGAGGATGAGCTTTTGCTCTGTGAATCCGTTACTGAAGAATTTGTCTTTGCTTAGCCTTGGGACATATTCAAACTCATCCCGAAGCACTTTGTAAACAACATCAATGAACTGTTTATCTGATTTACCACTCATTTCGTAACCCTGCTTTAACAGATACTTGGAAAAGGATAGCGAATAATCTTGGAACAAATAGTGGAGTAGAGGAAGATACTCTTGGGGGCATCCGTAAAACAAAGATTGGTAATTGATGTCAGTAGAATACTTGGTCGTTCGGAGTAAAGACTGTAGTCTAGTACCATGATTCTTGAGGTCTCCAGTGGACATTTGATAAACCGAATTCCTAAAATTAAAGGTTATTCAACAGGTGGATTATTAGGAGGGCAGTGTTTAATTTTAGAGACTCGAGAGGGTAAAAGCAGTTTGGATGACAACAACTTCACAACAGACGAGACTCGCAGAGTGAAAAAAGCACGTCACAAGCTCAAACTCAAATAATAACTAGTTACATATCAAGTTAGCTGCATTCAAAGGAAATAGCAAAAGGCAAGAAATACGAAATATGAATGGTAAATCGAAGCATTATAAAGCTCTCCTGCTCAACCAGGGAAAAGAATGAGGAAACTTCAAGCCCAAAATGTGCGGATTTCTTTACCCAACAAACGCAAAAAATCGCAAATTTGAATCGGAAAGGTCATATGTATCCCTTTAGGTACAATAACACTCATCTGTAACGATCAAGTGCGGAGATAAAAGATGGTCAAACCGAAACGTCGTGAGTAGCGCTCGATTCTTTGATCGAGGTTATTTAGAGAGAATGATAGTTTTTGTGCGCGGCGCGGTAACAATTCGACCTAGCATATGGCTGATATTTGTAAAGAATGTTTGATAGAAAAATTTAATAAATAGTTGTTAATCAGTCTTATTTTTAATTGAAAATCTGAATTCCTAAAAAAAATGTTCTTCCATCTTAGTAAATTTTAGTAACATATTATTTGAGTATCTCCGGTGCTACTGCGAGCCGCGCACGAAACCGTAATGAAATGGCGCTCATTCTACAATGTACACGTACGTTCGCATTCACTGTAAGTTTAATAATGTTTTGCGTTCCTTTGTTACCCTCACGCTTACTTGCGGTTACCTAGCCTCTCTCTCTTTTAGCTTAACCTGTCTATCTACGGACATGTGGCAACTGCTGTAATTATCTGCATTCCTGTTTGTAGGCCAACCGAATTCCAAAATAGGAGTGGGCAAAACTCACAGGTGTAGAGTATTGTTTAGACCGGCTTTATCACACCAAATCGGTATTTTTGAGCAACAGACAACAGATTTATTCCGTTCCCTATCAGTATACATTCTAAAGGTACTTTTGGTGTTTTATCGCATTTATTTGACTTGATGATCCCTTTGAAAGTGTATATTAGTGTTTACAAACCATTGGATGTGATTTTTTCTGGTCCCTCTGAAGGTTTTATAACGGTCCACTCTTCAGTATACTTCTTAGTTACACTAAACCGCTTCTTCTTTATCTGAAATTCGGTATTCACATAGTCACATAACACAAAATTATCATAATAACGTAAGATGCAGAGATACAGTAAGCGGCAGAGATACACCTGTCGAATTTAAAGCTGTTCTTTTGTTCTTAGATCCCTCTGTAATTTGGTGTTTTGTTTTCAGTTTGCTGCTGTCTCACTTTTCAATGTTCGATCGTTTGGTTAAACACACGTGTACAACTACGTACCTTAAAACTAGTTCTAGATTTTACTCCGCTGAGGACAGGTGTTCCAGATTTGAACTGAGGAGGCAAGGTAATACCTCTTCTCTCCAGATCTAGTGGTCTAACTTCGTCGCACTGAAATAGTGAGTACATAAATATATACACTCATGACTCAATAGTTATTGTTGTGTAATGTGCATGCGAATTTTGTACATTCTGAAATGTATATTTAGTTATTTGAAACTGTACGTGTTGGTTTATTTTAAATTGTTAGTGCCTTTTAAAAAACAACGCAACCACTTGGTTATAAACTGATTATCGTTATTTTTAAAATGTTGACAGCCATTAAACGGCCCACACTCGAAAAGCTAGAGTCGTAATAGCTTCCTGTAAACAAAATTGTTTTAACCCTTAAATAGAAAACAGTTGCCGGTTCTAAAAAAATGTCACTGGTATTTTAAAAAGTGCCGACAAAAAGCACTACAAATATGTACTAGTTAACAACATAACTGACTGACTGCTTTAACTTACCCGTCTCTGTAGAGGCAACATAGCAAGACACTCTACCATCAACTGTTGCTAAAACTAGGAACTAAATAAATCTAACACTAAACTGTAAAACAATCCAACACTGTAAAACAATCCAACACGGAAGTTAGGAGTTTAGACTGATATGTAATTAAATCCGAATTCAACGCACAGATCTGAAGAAGAGTTTTGCTGTGCATTGCAGTAAGGACCGTTGCACAGAAGAGTCACATGACTTGCACGTAATCCAAGTACCGATTATATTAAAGACACGTCACCAGCCCGGTCAGAAAATGTAGACATTCCTTATTTTTCCAGCTCCGGTTACATTGTGATTGTGATCTGACCGTCTACATTTTATGACACAAACCACATTACTAATTACACTAAGCGCAATTAATTAGATTGTACAATTAATTATACAAATTCGATAACATCGCAACTTGCCCTTAGAACTACACAAATACATACACAAATCTGAACTACTGAACTGGAATACACATTATTCAGAAAGATGCAATGCAACACTGTCAAACTTTATGACATGTTTTAAAAGAATTGTTAAGAACACATGAACACGAACAGACATAGGGACATAGTAACAGACTGCAGGTACAAAAACACAGTCACGAACACAGTCACGGTCACACGGACAAACACACGAACAGACCGACAAACAGACCGAAAACCACACGAACACACTACCTACTATCTCATTATAAGAGTTGCTAGATGGGGTTGGAGAGCAGCATCGCGAGCTGGGAGCTGATTTAGAGAGTATGTGAACTCTGTCTCCCGCCAAAGACAACGTGTCTGTCTTCCTGAAGGAGAGAAGTGAGCTTACTATTACTTTAACCTTAGGATAATAATTAATATAGCTTACTATTAGTTTTACCAGTTAGAGTAGATCCTGTCTTCAAATCTTAAGACACGGTAGCGGAGATACAATTTAAGTGCGGCAAAAAATCTCTGTCCGGCGGAGATAATAAATCCGCTGTCCATTCCGTTTTATAGCGTCACCGTGTGTGTCGACTGTCTTGAAAGGTCCAGTTGCGCAGTAAAACTAGTATTATACCAGCATCATCCCTTATATAGTATAATGAGTCGAAGTAAGTTAGTAAGTTACCCCTATCTACTCTACACTACTGTCGCTACTATTAGTCCTGATCGCAGGGTCGCACGTGGTAATTTGTTGGTAATTATACGGAATATCTGCCGGGCATTTTACTTGTATTTTAGGCTTAATTACATGTGGGGTGAAGGTTGCAGCAACTTTTAGTCGCGAGGAGGAGTTGAAGTTAATGTTAAAAATATGGTGTAGGGTTGGATGTTATGCTTCGAGGATGGAATTATAACATTGGTTACTGATAAGTTTTGGCCACATAATTTTATTGCAAAAAGTAATCTTTAAAGTGTGCATGATGGGATCCTTTCAACTTCGATTGCATTTCTGTTCTAGACTCATGATCATATTATGAATAATACTTATTTCTACTCAACTAATTAATTTGGACGGGTGTAATCCTCCGCTGATAATATGAACACTTAGTCCAACTAATACTATTATATTATATACTCCACACAACTAATACTACACTCCAGGAGTAATGATAAAAACAACTGTAATGCTGTGGAATGCACGGCACACATATAAAACAGGCTCACACTTACAAATGCCTCATGCTAATTGATATTGTATGACAGTTAGCCCTGAACGATCACTATTATTCTGTTGTCCGTTCCGACAGGCAGTCGGTACGGACTGCTGAAATATGGTACATTTTTCTACTTTTGTTTGCAATGCCTTTTGTTAGTGATATATTAGCGGTGTTGGTGGCAATCTTTTGCTGTGATATAAAGCCGGGTCGTGCAGAAAGGTGTGACCTTTAACATCAACAACTTTTCTTTTTTACTCAAAACAGTGAATGCCGACACAGTTTACAAAGATGAATTATGTGTTCTTTCACGCGACACTAGTGACGAATATTTACCTCCAACTAATGATCGTAGCGTGATTCAGAGAGAATTTAAGAGTTTTTATCGTGGTTTAATTTTAAACTGTTCATGTTGATGAGGTTCATTTTGCTTGGCTAGTTGTATGAATATTATAACAGTATCCCAGTGCACTTAGAAGTAAGTGGTCTCAACTAAATATAGTTTAAAATGAAGGGCCTGCAGTAAGTTAGTAAGCTTTAGTTAGGTAGTAAGCTTTAGTTAGGTAGTAAGCTTTAGTTAGGTAGTAAGCTTTAGTTAGGTAGTAAGCTTTAGTTAGTTAGTAAGCTTTAGTTAGGTAGTAAGCTTTAGTTAGGTAGTAAGCTTTAGTTAGGTAGTAAGCTTTAGTTAGGTAGTAAGCTTTAGTTAGGTAGTAAGCTTTAGTTAGGTAGTAAGCTTAAGTTAGGTAGTAAGCTTTAGTTAGGTATTAAGCTTTAGTTAGGTAGTAAGGTTTTTTAAAAGATCGACCTTCCGTAAAAGTAAAACAGAATTAGATAAACGGATCGTTTAGGCCGTAAACTTGAATACAGCATTCCCATTCTGTTGCGACCTTTCCATTAACAATTTTGCAACAAGTTTCAATTTCATTAACATGCGTAACAATAATGCTATTTTTATGTGCATATGTTACTTTCAAAGTAGACCGAAAATTGGCGGTATCGCCTTTTATTTGACGATTTCGCCAGACGCCGGTCCATAAAATGGTCCTCGGAAACAACACTTTAGAGAATTTACTATGTAATACCGCTTTACGGGAAATTGTTTAGACTTGAAATAACCTGCAATTTAGGACTTTATTAGGTATGTTTTTGAATTTTACCGTTGAGTAAGTTTGTAATTGTTGAGTTAATCTAAAATGGCGTATATCTTTATTTGTTATGTCATACTGTTTCCTGGATCTAGTACATGAGGTTACTAGGATATTTTTAACTTATCTAATATTAGCTCACGTGAAATTGCAGTCTGATAATATAATCTGTTAGAGCCGAGTATAAAATGGGAGATGGCAAACACCTGCTGTTATTCCAGTCCAGATGGTCCAGTAAAGCTGGGTAATTCTATCTTGAATTGCAGCTTAACACAGTCGTGTGGTGTTCTCCAACACACATTACCACTATTACTGTTCTTGTGAGTGGTAGCGTTCGCAAATAATCTTACTTACAATGCCAGAACGTTTAAATAGCACAATTACACATAGAAATAACAAAAGGGGCGGAAGTTTCATTGAAACGAGGGCTCCGGCACTCCACTGGTGTAGTTGCTTATTTTTTACATATTTGGGGTTATTTCGTACTTATGTGGGATAACTTTCATGAAGAGTCCGGGTGCAGACATTATGTAAAATTGATTAAATGTTGATAATCAGATAATATTTAAGTATATACTGGTAAGTTTGGAGTCTGATTTTATTTTAGGAAGTTGGTGTTTGTCGATCTAGCTCGACCGGTCACTCTAATTTGGCTCCCACGCAGTACTTTACACTCACTCTCAATACAATGACTCTCAATACAATGACTCACTCTCAATGACGGAATGTCTAAGAGACTTTCAAATCGTAGATTGATTACATTGATTTGTGTGATGTCTAACTGTTGCTCTTACTATATTTTAAATTCTTTGAAGGAGTTATGATTTAGTGAAACTAACCTGAAGGCCTGCTCCACTTTGAAGGAGTTATGATTTAGTGAAACTAACCTGAAGGCCTGCTCCACTTTGAAGGGGTTATGATTTAGTGAGACTAACCTGAAGGCCTGCTCCACTTTGAAGGAGTTATGATTTAGTGAGACTAACCTGAAGGCCTGCTCCACTTTGAAGGAGTTATGATTTAGTGAAACTAACCTGAAGGCCTGCTCCACTTTGAAGGAGTTATGATTTAGTGAAACTAACCTGAAGGCCTGCTCCACTTTGAAGGAGTTATGATTTAGTGAAACTAACCTGAAGGCCTGCTCCACTTTGAAGGAGTTATGATTTAGTGAAACTAACCTGAAGGCCTGCTCCACTTTGAAGGGGTTATGATTTAGTGAAACTAACCTGAAGGCCTGCTCCACTTTGAAGGAGTTATGATTTAGTGAAACTAACCTGAAGGCCTGCTCAGTGCTCCACTTTAAAGGGGTTATGATTTAGTGAAACTAACCTGAAGGCCTGCTCCACTTTGAAGGGGTTATGATTTAGTGAAACTAACCTGAAGGCCTGCTCCACTTTGATGGGGTTATGATTTAGTGAGACTAACCTGAAGGCCTGCTCCACTTCCCGGTCCGTAGAAAAATCATGTTGAGAACATGCGTCCACTTTCAGGGTCACCATATTATCCTTCTTTTCCTTTAGATCTGCAATACTTCCCACAAATCCTGCGCTTTTCAGTGTGTCACTTTCTCCCAATCCTCCGCATTTCACTATTTCACTTCCTTGCGCGCTGCTTACCTCATCTGGGAGTTTACTGGTTATAGATAGCATTATTAAATAGGAATACTGTAAGTTTAATTATTTTAAATTCATAGTATATTTAATGATGGAATATTCAGTGGGAGGTGGAAATGTAATTGGAATGATTGTGAGTATGAATAAGTTTCTGTTTGAAATTAAGTTAGATAAACTTGATAATTGATTTGCATAAACCTTCTTTACTGGTACCCTCTGGTATTGCAGTGTCACCCGTTGCGGTATCAGGTGCTGTTGTATCGTTTTGTGTAGTGTCTGTGGTTGTAGACTCCTCCAACATAAGACTTTAAAATATTATACTATTAAATATAAGACTATAACATTTAGGATATCAAATTATAGGACTGTAAAACATAGGACTTTAAAATATTGCTGGAGGGGGATTATTTAAAACATAAAAGTCAAACGAAATGTCTGTTTAGCAGGAGCTTGCAAAATACACGTGTAAATCGTCTTCAGCAAATATAGGTCATAGGACTATAAAATATAGGATTGCATTTTCATTTATTATAGTAATTACCGGCTGAACGCATTTTAAACTGGTTATTATACTATTAGTTGTTGTAATACTACTAGTAAAACTACTAGTTATTATACTAGTAGTTGTTGTAATACTACTAGTAATACTACTAGTTATTATACTAGTAGTTGTTGTAATACTACTAGTAATACTACTAGTTATTATACTAGTAATTGTTGTAATACTACTAGTAATACTACTAGTTATTATACTAGTAGTTGTTGTACTGAGGTACTCTGGATCATCAAAAAAAAGACAGAATTTAAAACGCATACAACTTTGATACGCATACAACAATATATGAAAAATAGAATGCGAACCATTTACAACCTGTCATGTTTGTGATTTTGTTTGTGATTGTGTCATGCACCTTTGTGACGTCATGCACCTTTGACGGAGAGAATGGTTCCGAAGAACCATCGTTTTAACTTCTTGATGTCAAGATGACACTAATGTCAAGATGACACTAAGAATTTACAAACTGGCAGTCCAAGGAATTTTATTGTACTAGTTCTTTTTATTTTCAAAGTAATAGATAAAGTTTTGTAATATTTTCGCCTGACAGAGAAAGAAAAATAAGAGATTAACAATTGATAGAATTGTGCTTGTTGTGCAAAGTGTACTGTAGAAGTTGAGAGCAAAAACCACACACAGAGTGTGAGAGAGAGAGAGAGAGAGAGTGTGTGAGAGAGAGAGAGAGAGAGAGAGAGAGAGAGAGAGAGAGAGAGAGAGAGAGAGAGAGAGAGAGAGAGAGAGAGAGAGAGAGAGAGAGAGAGAGAGAGAGAGAGAGAGAGAGAGAGAGAGAGAGAGAGAGAGAGAGAGAGAGAGAGAGAGAGAGAGAGCGAGGGAAGTGCTTTAAAAATCCAGTTAAAAGTTAATAACATCGTTAGTGCAGCACATAATGGTATCTCAGCTCCTCTGCAATTTTCACGGCCCTTTTGTGAGCAGTAAAATGGTTCTATTAATACTACAGCGGTGTTAACAAAAAACAAATATTGAAAGTATTAATGTTCGCAAAATGGCATGATTGTCCAATATCGATCGACTATCTTATTTCAGTTTTTACTGATTGAGGTTATGGGTCCTAAATATTCAGTTAAAAAAACTGATTAAATCACGGACAGGTTTACAAAACGTCATTGTTTAAAAAACTTGGGGGCACTCAAAAATATCGAAAATGAAACTTGAAAGAATCTAAGAAAACAGGATTTATCGGAAAGATTAGATTCAGATTAGCCTCTTAAATTGATCAGTGTATTGTGAATCAAGGTAAGGGACAAATATAACATTACAATTTTAGTATAAAGAATAAACACGCAACCGGTGGGGGAGAAATAGCTCTTCGTACAAATATGAATAATACAAATAAATAAAAACTCTCGTATTTATGTCACATTTCGTTAGGAAAAGCATACATCAAGAAAATATATTCTAGTCATCCAAATATGACCTAGCATGGAGAAAACAAGATTTTGAACATCATAAATCTAATTTTAACTATTCAGGTATACCAAATACGTACATTGCAAAATATGCCAAAATATTTTCCATTATTAAGAAACTGATCTACCACGTACAAATTAATGGTGTTTCGGCGTCGAGGACGTTAAGTTACTCAAACGTTGGTGAAGCTATGTTATATATTTATTGTGCTCTTCTACTTGTATTTTCATACACCACAACATTGTGATATCGTTCTGTGTTATTCTTCAAACAAAATTTATCAACTTTCTTACTTCACAGATCGAGTAGAAACAGATCCTAAAAAGAGAATCAATTTAAGTCATGAATTATATCTGCTTGTAAATACCGAAGTGAAACGCATTCAAGAGAACATATCATCAACAGCAGTCAGCAACTACCCAAGAGATAGCCTCTTAGAAAGGACGATGTAAGGAACTGATATACGTAATAAGTAATAAGTGCACTATAACAGTTTAGAGAGGCTAAACACGTGCCAGTACGAATGAAGATGTACATTGTACACACATTTACTCGTGAGACATGTCCATGGTCACAAAAGGGACTCTTTATACAAATATGAATATTGTAAAATATGCCTAAATATGTTGTTTTCATCATAGGAACGCTCACACATGGCGCAGATAAATTGAGTTTTGAGGTCATCATGTAACTTAACTACAATATTGGTGACGCTAAGTTTTATCTTAAAATCTTTCGCTCATCTCTACTTCTAGTGTCAAACATAATTCAAATCCTACTGTTTTATTCTTCGGAATCCTACTCTTTTATTCTGCGGAATCTTAGCTGATGAAATTTCACATTTTACTTTTTTTAGATTTTCAAGTCCGTACGTGGTTAAATACCTCGTTGTTTAAAAGTAAATGGACCCATTTAATCTTGTTACAATTCGTACCCTCTGTTAATTCTACACGAGGAGTGTAGCCACTATATGCAGTAGGTACACACAGTACACTATACGATAATGTACAATGTACATCGTACACCTGGTACACACGTGGTACACTTGGTACACTAAACAGCACAGCACCAGTACAAACAATTAAATGTATAAATGACTTATGTCCATGCTGTTGCTTGCTCTCTCTCCCTCCTCTCTCCCTCCTTCTCAAGGCTAGCGTGCAAGTACTCAAACTATTTTATTGGTTCTAATTAATTTCTATTAATTTTTTCTAATTGTAGAGTGATTAACAACAGGAAAGGAATAAGTTTGAATTTCCCTGCACAGTACAACAGTTAATCCCCCAAACACAATGCTCAAAATTGCCATTTAAACGATCACATTACAGTTTTAAACCGAACTCCAGGTTTAAACTGCACAATTTCCCAATGCAGCTCAAAATAGCCCTCAATGTTCAAGTACTAAGTACTGTATCAAGAGAGAAAGAACAACCCTGCACCACCTACATTTCGTGCTGATCGAAATGAAAAAATCGGTAAAAGCAACAAGGATAGCTCGACCTGTCGAGGGATCGACATAGTGCGAATACCTTCTGTCGGAAATGTCTTATACTAAATCGCTGTGTCAAATTCTTTCGAAAATATAAGCTCATATTGAAAATCGTAGGCCGTTCGCGGTTCGTTGTTCACGATTTCCTTCGATTTATTTTAAAGAATTTGACATGTCAATTATCAATTCGTCGATTTCATTTGATTTTTTATTAGGTTGTTCGATGAAATGTCAAATACTCTAACGTTATTAATCGACTAATCGAGAAATTTGTTATAACAAAAAACAGTGGGAATATATTTAAAAATGCCTTTTCAAGAGGGTTTGCGATAGAAAACGGCCAGTGGGAATTGCGATCCATTTTTAATATGTCTTCATTCGCTTTAATGTTTAACTTAAACAGGAGAGCAATAGCATAATTCTTGGTACTATCATTTTAAAGGGGATAATTGATATTCAACACCATGTGACTACGACAACACCAAGTAAAGAATAATAAGCTGACAATAAACAAGAGGAGCCAACTTGGAAGATCTAACGAGCGTTTGTTATCTACATAGAATGTTTGAATGTTTATTGTATTTCCTAACATCTAAACTGTTACACAGTTGATACCTACGACACCGTAATTAGATTGATGGTAATGCTCCCAATTAAGGCGTCGTATCAACTTTTCAGAAGAACTGTATTACTATTACACGATAAAATTATATCTTCTACAACTGGACTGCTAATGTTATAATAAACATTTAGCACAACAAGTTGGATCAAAGAACAAGCTTAAGGATAAAATGATATGTAAGCGGTTAATAAAGAGAGGAAGTAATATATTATGCCGGAATCAGTCATGATTTTTAAATCTACACAAGAAATGATAATAAGGATGGGCTGCAATAATCCTGAAATAAAAGTACCTTAGTAAAACATCTGATGAATACCGCTTACTTCTTTACCCGCAACAAACGACAGAGCTACAATACCACACCCGGTAACCATAGACTTAACATCGGGTTATAAATACAAATAATAAGCTGACATCACACGATTGAAAGTAAGACTATTGAGTCCCAAGCAATGGTTCCGGTACCTAATTAAAGAAACAAGCCACATAGCTCGTAACACAAAGAGAGGACGAGAGAGAGAGATATGGGGTGACAGAGCTAGGCTAGTTATCATCTCAATAACATTTGATAACTTATCATATGTTACTGAGATGTCTCTAGAGAGAGAGAGAGCACCCATTTGTTATCAGCAGGAGTGTAGTGTTACCCTCTCTCCCTCTCTCTCTCTCTCCCTCTCTCTCTCTCTCGCTTGTTTCACATCTTATCTGACATGTGACGGAGCTTTTTAAAACTCTGACTTGTCAGTGTCAGGCTTAACGTAAGAGCTTATACATTAGGGTCTGAACACCGCTCTAAAGTTCTGATATCATAATCTTCACTGGAGGGATTCCCAATAATGTTTAATTGGTGCTCCACCCATTAAATTAGTCTGATAGTGTGTGTGTGTGTGTGTGCGCTCGACTCACACCCAAAATCTCATCTCCCTAACCTCTACTTTGAATTTTAACGAAAAGTTATCTCGTGAAATGGTGAGATGACGTGCCTTGAACATAAAAACATTCTTAATTTTAATCTTTTGTGTAACAATTTTCCCGGAAACGTTATTAATGAAATTAAGGATTTAGAATTGCATGCGCTTGTTTAACCACCTCCAGTTGAAAAGTTGAAATGAACAAACAAACTCAACCCAGGGCATACTAATCTAACCATATATGATACAATAATACTACTACAATATACTATTACAATACTACTACTAGAACATAACAATATGGTACACTCCTTACAGCACGCAGCTGTTCACACCGCAATACACAATATGTACACTGTAGTCAGTAGTTCTCTTCTCGTACTGCATTTAATAGTTCCGATAGTGCCACCCACCCATGCCACCCCCTCTTTTTAAAATCTCACACTAACATTGGTAGTAGTAATCTCGTTGGATCTCTTTTTATTTTACGTTGATACTAACAGTTAAAATAATGTTGTATTATTTCCAGAGCACTGCTTTTTCACTGAATAACACTGCTGTTTAAGTATCATTATAACTCAAGCTGTGAGTATGTATGTGATTATTATTATGTTCAGTAAGTAAGAAACTACTCGCTAGTCAGGTATGATATGTACAACATGTTCCTTCTCAAGTTGATCACAGCTGGAATACAAATCGTTAACTTTATCGAGCTGTAGTTGGCATTAGTGCGGAAATTAGACTTATCCACAAATTTTGCCAATCTCTAAAAAGTTTATGGATTAAAACCAGAGCTTTTAACGTGCAGAACTCGAAAAGTCAACGTCTGTGATGATAAATAGATGAGTCACAGGTGCAGTTTAATTGATCACTTTTAGAGCGTATAAAATCTATATTATATGCTTGAAAGGTATTAAATTAAGCTTTGCACCCTTGTCCCGTTTATTTATTGATCATATTACTGCAAGGCCTTTGAAGTTTGAATTATGTCACTTAAATTGTACGTCAGGGATCATTAATACTTTGCTTATCTCGATGTTGTCTTGATCACTATGCTGCCCGTTTTAATATTATAACATTTTTGATACAAATAAAAGTCATTAAATATTTATTTCTACGATTTTGAAGGAAACTCTGGTGACAAAACTGACAAATACTGATGAACGATTAGGCTATTGGCATTAAATACTTTACAAGGATGACAGATTAACATACAACTTTTACCACAATTCTTTACTATTATATTATATACATCTTACTAACTACAAGTTTGTTATTCTCGTAAGTTTCGCATCTATTTATTATATTATACAGTATACTGTTTCCCCTTTAATGATAATCTTCACTATCTAACTAACGCAACCAACGAATTTAACCAAGAAGGCAACTTCAAAAGAATATGATAATATTATGCGTTTAATACATTATTTGTGCTAATTAAGTGAAAGAAACTTAAAACACCTAGTAGCCTTTAGAGTTAACCATACCAGGTCATCTTTAAGATTAAGGAATGTTTTTGATCTTTTAAGAGCTTGACGCGCAGATAACAAACTTCCAACGATCTTCTAAGTTTCGAGATAATTAGATTGACTAAAGATTTGATTCAAAGAAGTTTTGGTAATATTACTAATTGCAATTTTGGCAATGATCCAAGAAGGAATTCTGGCTGTGATTCAAATTGCAATTTACGTTGATTGTAGCGATAATCTTTAGCAATGTTTAATTTTCATTGTAAGTATTGCCTTATCTTTACATTGTGTAGCCCTCATAGCCCTCATATCAAGTTATGTGCAACAAGTTTAGTTCTTTCGTGCTCTCGCCAACTCTCTTTTTAAGACTTTTTTGCTCTTGCCTATTTTTCCGCCGTCTTTTTAATTACTTATTTGTTGATGTTATTAAGTCGGTGAGCAGATATACCTACTTCAAATACCTAAAACTGACCTCGTCAAAAGGCTTACGAAATTTTGCAAGAATCCCACCCAAGTAGTTGCACTTATATACTGGCCCGGCCCTTGTTGTTGCCACATTGATTTAACCAAAATTTGTTGCTGAATCTCACATTTTTCTGTAAATTTCATGTCCGAGAACTGTCGAACGATTCTTTGGTTACTCTCCGTTTCGTATTAAAAATGTGATTCGTAGCTATCTTAGTTTTGCTCTTTGCTCCAGCAAAATTAAAACTCTGGAACTTTTCCATCTAATGAGATTGCATGCCATGCATGGACGGATAGTTGGTACTGTCACAAGATTCCGAGATAAACAACAGAGTAGCGACAAAAAAATATACTGACAGAGGAGAAACTCTACGTCCCACATTTATGTAACCTACATTCACATAACCTACATATTCACATAACCTACATATTCAAGCTTCTTGATTAAATGAATATTCCCTCCGACGAAAATATAAGGGCCAGCCAAATATGGGCTGATAAGGTATCAGATCGAAATACAGGGTGTTAGGGTCCGTATGTACACACTACACATGTTATTACTGCTTCTAGGCTATGGTCGTAAATATATTATTCAGCATAAAATATGGTATGGTGTGTACTCATTTTATTTTTATTATTATTATTTTTCTATTTCCTACTTTACCCTCTACTCCCTTAGTGGGCGGGATTATTGATGGTAGTTTAGATTGGTGCTGTTTGGTGAGTTGTTGGACATAGCACGTCTATATTTTAACTCCATATATATTATGATAACTAATAGTTGTATATTTATAAGCTAACACTACACCGTGCGAAATGCTTAAACAAGGTACAAATAACACTACTGTTGAAATGCCGCCGCTGCTACCTTTATTGTTGTCTTTTACTCAGTTTGTACTGCTCAATATTTCAGAGCCTTATTTTAAAATTGGTTTCAATGTTTTGTGGAACATGACCTATCATTTTCATTAAAATAGCTGAGGCATTTCATTGATAATCCTTAACATTCATCCGAACATTTTACTATACAATTCAGATCTTGATTATAAGGTATCGATATTACGGACCATAATTTCTGCAACTGCAAAGTAACGTTACATACGTTGGCCTTTATAGCTCAGTCACTGATTGCCCGATTGAGGTAATTTATTTCGGTATGATTTACTATCACCACTCATTCAAGGAATATGTTAAATCAAAGAATATTCATGTTCATTTTTTTCAAATGAAGGTTCATTTTCGCATTTATTTTATCGATTGAGTAATCGGATCGAGCCAAATTGTATTGGATTTTGTTTGACCATTCAAATTATATTTGCCCTGAAAAATGAGAGTTCTAGCTTCTCAGATGTTACATACATGTTACATGGCGAGATCTCCATCCAAAAGGATTAGTCTGCGTCGACTGCGTCATTACTTTGTATTATACAACTTCGGCGGGTAACATTTCTCCATCCCTTTCGGTCTGCAGCTAATCTTCTCATACAATCAATCGTGAGTCCATTCCGATCCAATCTCTGCTCAGCATCCTCAATAAATACATCATTTAGGCTCTTCCTAGGCCTGCCTCTTGACCTCTTCCCATGCTTGGGTTTCCATTCAAGTAAATAGTTGGGTAACCGATCTTCAGGCATTCTACTGACATGTCCAAACCAACGCAGCCGTTTTGTTGTTATTATGTCAGCAAGAGCAGTTATTGATGCCCTTCTTAAAACATCCTCATTACTTACTCGATGGAACCACCTCACTCTCAGGATTCTTCTTAAGCAGTACTGATGGAAAGACTCCAATCTTCTTGTCTGCACTTGAGTCGTGTTCCATATCTCACATCCATAGGTCAGAATGGTAAGAACAGCTGCGATGTAGATTCGCACTTTGTTGTTAATGCTTATGTTCTTATTCTTCCAAATGTTGTTGAGTTGGTTAAAAGCTCCAGTTGCTTTTCCAATCCTGACACTTATTTCTTTATCAATCTTGCCATCTGATGTAATTTTGGCACCCAAATAAGTGAATTGAGTGACCTGCTTTGCAGAGTTTCCATCGACAGTTATATCTATGGTCCTATTCTCTGGGAGTGGGTGCTGCGATGTATCTTTCCCAATGACCATGATCTCTGTTTTCTTTGCGTTCATCTTTAAACCCCCGAGCCCACAGTATTTCTCAGATGTACATACGTTTAAATATAAGTTATGGGAAGTTATATAATTAATGCTTTTCAAACAAAGTTACAACGAATTCTTCATGTAGTGCATCCTGGGTTTGGACAGGATATGCCCGTTTAAAATATTTCCATCACGTTACATTACATAATTCTCAATAAATGTAGGTAATAGATTTGTAGTGTTGTAATTAGCTTAAAGTTAAAACTAAACGAGACGATGATAAGTTATAGCAACTCCTCATCGTCTCGTAAGTGGTCATTTATTGACGTAGTCAGTACTTTACTGTATTTCTTCGCAGCAGCGGCGACTATCAATATTTTATTGCAAGTTCTTAAAACATTTCAAGTTTAACATACAGGCGGGTTTCATCAATATTTTATCAAATTGTCTACACTACACACCCTGGCCTGGTACAAGTGGCTGTTTGAAAAAAAATCACAATTTTAATTAGAGACTGCCGAGTGTGACATTACTTATCTTACATTATATTCTTTGATAACCCAATTTGCTCTACTCTCATATCAATCTGGTGTGATTTCATGAATTCATGTTGTGGTTTTACTTTATTTAATTTATATCGACTTTTGCAACGGTTAAATGTGGGACCTTGTGTTAGAACAAGAATACTATTATGTGTGTGACCACTGAGTTGTGACCCTGGTGCCACATCTTCACTCCAAAATATCTCCTTAAAAGGGGAGCGTTCTAAGAATCCCCAGACAGATTGGGTACGAAGACAAGTTGCCGTTCCCATTCATGTTCGCTAATAGTAGTCTAAATGGCAAAATGCAGCAAATATTATACTTTACCGGAAGCAAGGAACGTGCGCAAGATCGAAATTAAGATCAGCGGTTAATACCGATTTTAAGAAAATAAAAACATACCACCTACCTACGCAAAGAAAAAGAATTTCGTGATTGAATTAGGCCTTGTATATCATCGACCTCTTAAAATGAAAAGATGGAGTCATGTACACCATAAACTGTTCGTGATGATTCGTTGATGACCTCTTGGTATAATACTTATGAAGCACTCAAGTGGACATACAACCGAAATTTCCGCAATTAAACTAATAGTGTTATTGCATAATTTTACGTGTCCTATTTATGATGAATATGAATCAAACAATAAATTAGGTCGATACAAACTGACAGTGAACTAAAAACAGAGGTTTTATTCTTGTGGAAATCGTCCTGGCTTTTGATAGGTTCCCGGGATTGAGCATGACTGCTTTGACTGGATCTTTGCTCAATCACGTGACCCTCTTGAGAGGCAATGGGCGTCGCACAATAAATATCATCAATGAGTTAGCCACTTGGCATCAAGTGATGTTACCTCGTGGTAAACTAAAACTAGCAGCATAGAAGCAAGATAAAAATGAGCAAGATAAAAACCAGCCGTTTATTTTCAACCAATCGTCACGAAGATAGACAATCGTGTGACCTCTACCCGACCCATGAGCATCAAGCATCTGGGAACGTGTCACCTTGATGCTTCCTCTCACCTTATCTTCATATCTTGCTTATTCTGTCGAATATAGGAGCCTGTCAAGATAAATTCGAACTATGGTCTATGATCCTGTATTATTATTATATTATGAGATCGTGTGTCATGCAGTTCGATCACACAAGTAAGGCTTTATTATTTCGCTTACGATGGACCGAGAATCACGTGGGCTATTTAGGGCAATAGGTCAGCAGGGAATGTAAATAAATTCCTTTTAACCAGGTCTCTTGTTTACAATCCGTGTCAAATGGAACGCAATTATAACCTTGAAAAGATGATACAATTGTTTCTTGACTGGTTGTTTGCAAATTTGAATTCTATAGTTAGCCAGTTAGACTAATTAATTGTTTTTCTAGTCCTTGTGTTTTTCTAGTACCTGTGGTTTCTCTAGTTCTCGCGAGTCATGGTAATGGCATGATGAAGACTGTTGAGTATTCACCCATATTAGTCTTCAGCTTCCTACCCTGTACATATTCCCCCGTTACACGATTAGAGGCTACAAATTAGATTACATTGCAGCACTGGCAGTCCTTACTCCCGCATTCGTCTAGAGAGCTTCTGTACGTGGTGGAATCTTGATTTCATTTTGTTGTTGAGTGTTAATTTGATTGCTTTAGTTTGTATCTGTTGTAGGTACAGTAAAGTCTTGTTAGTTGTCTGTATCCCTCGATAGATTCGTCGTTGGTCTGCGGCTATACTTGCAGCTAATCCACGTGTTTTAGTGTTTTGGCAGTGAATTTTTGGTACGTGACAGCGATTCTGGGAGGATCTGCAATACTTTTGGCTAATCGCAGTCATGTGTCGCCTTTAAGAAACCAAGTCTAGCCAAATTCCAATGTGAACAGCGACCCGCCATAGTCCAGATTCCGGTTAAAAACGGCCAATTTTAGGGATTTCGGTACCGCTGCGTATTCTTTTCCTTGGTTGGGAATTTTAGTATTTCAAGTAACAAAAATCGGTCTAAATTTGGCAACGTAATATCGTTAGAGCGTTCACTCATTAGCGTCTAATCAGTTGTAATAATTCACGATTCTAAAGCATTAACGCAGATGCGAGAACTGGTAATGTCAGTTAATAACAATCGTGGGAGAACAAATAGTAAGTGATATGGGTTGCCCATGACACTGGCCTCAGTGCAGTAATTAATGATCATAAAGCTTATCTAATTATCCAATACACGTGCTCTGAGAGGTTTACAGAAACTTTGTAATTAGGAGCCATGGAATTTGCCAGTGTTGCAAACTCGAACAATTAATTTTAAAGACTCCACTGTAATGATATTATAATTATAATATAAATTATTATGTCAATATCACAAAATTATTGCTAGAAAATCTAAGAATAAATGTTTTATGGCATCAACATTTCATTGAATGACAGTCGTTATAATTACATAATGCCGATATTGCCTCTTATTTTTTTGACAAGCTTTTAACGTGTATCTGGCCTGGGAAACTAAGACCTGCCGATAGAACGCACGTTAAGCTCAATCATGTTTTTAACAGATACAGCACTAATTACACGAATTGCACTAATCACTAACAGCACTAATTACTAATAGCACTAGTTACACTGTTATTTTTCACGTGCCGGTCGATCTAAAACTGGGCTGTCCCTGTCTGAAACCTTTTAACCTGACTTACCTTTCCTGGGTTTCTTAGGCTACTTTGCAAGGGCCGCCACGGTTAGTCTGACCTATCATAAACGTGTCCGACTGCTGGGCAAGTCCAGGGCGGCCGTTCTTAAAGTTCACACTGTTTTACTTGTCCTGAATTTGCGTTTTGAAACTATTGAACCTGCTCGTTACATTTTGATCTAAACATTTTTACCGTTCAGTCCTACCCGTCCTACACTCTGTTATTACAGTCCTACCCGTCCTACACTCTGTTATTACAGTCCTACCCGTCCTACACTCTGTTATTACAGTCCTACCCGTCCTACACTCTGTTATTGTACCTTGGCACTTATCCTTAGCTATAATTTGTTACGGATATATAATGTTCCATCTTCAGATGCCCAAAAATCCTCTTTGGCACCACTGAGCCTTGAAACAAAAACCATCGTCCTGGGCCTCACTTCAAAATGGTTAAATTCCCATAATACTGATACTGCTACTTTGGTAAGCGTCAGCTAACAAACGTTAAAAAATAAGCAAAGTCGTACGTAAAACGTTATTTTAAAGCATCGGCCATCATAAAGTCCTATCAGGCACAGTCATTCAAAGTAAAGACAAAGTTAAAAGTTAAGAGACAAAGTTATGAGTTCCACATTCAATACACCGCACTAGGAAACTGCACTGTGTACACAGTACATCCGTGTACATTGTGTACAACCATCTCATCTCATGCTACAGTTATGTTGACTGTGTGCCACTCATTTGCTACGTGTATACACCGACTAACTGACTGCTTGTTCTACTTTTTAACTAGCCTTGTTACTTGGTTTTTGTTATTTGTATTTCTTTTGTTTGAGAATCAAGACAAGAAACTTGATATCTATTACTCTTCCTCCCTTGTTTACTTTTCTCTACTCCCTTTCTCCTCCTTCCCCCACTCCCTCTTTCTTGCTCCCAGTCCACCAATAGAATCCTGAATCCCCCCTCTATACACTGACACGCACTCACTCACAGGAGATATTATAACATACACTGTACATACATTTCCAGTCCTGCTCATTAATCTATTTCTCTCCTGCTGCTGCTGCTGCTTGTGAACAATATTCTCTTCGCAGCTAGATCTCTGGCTTGTCATGATCATGCTCGCTCACTTGCTGTGGTGGTGTTATCTTGTCAATTGTAGGTAGTTTGGTCGATTTAAATGCAGTAGTTTGGCAGATTTACACGCGGTAGTTTGGTTGTGTGCTGACTGCCAGCCTTCTTGTGTGTACTTGATTATTAGTTGTGTTAGGCATGTTAGTTATTACATATCAGTACTCATTATACTGCACATTCCCTGTAATCCTACCTTTCTTGCTTGCTGTAAAATATCATTTACTCCATATTGATACCGCCAATCTCCCGTATTTCCAGAGATATACTAATTTGATTTTCTGCTGTAAAGTGGTGTGGAGCATATCATGTTTCCGCGTGTAACGTTGCTCGTAATGTCCTGGAGTGAATCATGGAAATATCAGAAATACTGTGTTTCTGAAGAATCATGGAAATATCAGTAATACTGTGTTTCTGTAGAGTCATGGTTAATGTGGACTAGTTTGTTTAGAGTTTGTTGCTTGACATTGTCATTCGAGAAGTCGCCAAAATGTACACAATATCTTCATTTAATACGATATTGTGTGACCATGTGAGTGCATAATTTGTGAGTCCAGGACAATTATCTGGTTGCATAATGGACGCTATTCTTATTATCAGTACCTTAAGTGGGTTAATTGTGCCCAGTAAATATCCAGCGTCCAGTTCTCTCTGTTACTAGTTTTGTTTAACCCTTTTCTGAGCTCTTGTTCATACTTGCGGCTCCGCTCCTTGCGATTGTTCTCCGTTATTTTAAGTACTGAGAGGGGGAGAAATTGTTATTGGGCGATAAAAAACTATGTTCCATTCACAGGATAGCCAGTCACCTGGCAACGCCCGCTCATGATCCTTCTCCAAGGTCACACAAGTGTAAGCGGGGATTGAGCGATAAAACAAGTCTCAAAACCCTGGCGTGTTACTAGTATGTGATCAGTAATTAGTTAGTGTACAGTTCACATCTGTTTTACTCTACCCCAACGTTTTCTATGTATTTGTTTAGTGATATATTATGTTTATGTGGGGTAATTTATGTTATCGTCAATCAGATATAATTTTAAAAACGTGTTCTTAGTTTTTTCAAAATATTTGATGTCAAGGCCAGGTCTTCAGCTAGTAACATTAAATGTGATACCAAATGCCGGACATTTCATCACAAATCACCCGCAAATTTACCCGCGCCTTCGCCTAAGTGTTGGCACTCATGATTTATTTAAGATTTACACTGGATAACATTTGAGTGTCTAAGACGCTTTACAACTTTTCTATGAGGCTTGTACACTATCTTGCCAGCTCTACTCTGTCTGATTGCTGTTGCTCTACGTTTCGATATATCGGTTACACAACAAGTTTATTTGGTTCAGGCACTTCCTCCTACGATCGAGCTCCTGTTATCAAGTTTTGTGGTTTTGTTGCTTAAACCCTACTTCTCTACTTATAATGTTTAAAGACTTACTCGAGTACATCATCTAACCAGTTTAAGTAACCAAGCGGTACATACCTTAATGGTACATACTTAAGTACCTACTGCGGTACATGTTCTAACTAAACGGCGAATACTCGTGAACACTGGACGTACTGTGATAAAAGTTTACGGTAAATCGGGGGTTTACTGTACATGAGCGATCTTCCATTAAGATTTGGTAACTTTATAGTTTTAACTTTAAGGACGGTTATGATAAGAAATTAATAATATCTGAATTATCTAACCACATTCCACTCCAGCTAGTTAACATGTCTCTGAAGCTGTGCTACTGGGATGTACGTGCTATGGGTGAGATCCCCAGACATCTTCTCCGGTATTCTGGACAGGACTGGGTAGATGACAGGATGGGAATGGCAGATTTTGGAAGGTGGCAAGCGGAGAAGTTCACTCTAGGACTAGATCTGCCTAACTTACCCTATCTTATAGACGGAGATATCAAGGTTACACAGAGTGTGGCCGTTATCAGATATCTGGGCAGGAAATTTGGACTGGTGCCAGGAGATGACGAGAAAGATATTGTGAAGTGTGAGATGATAGAACAGGAAGCTGTTGATCTCCGTAGTGCTTTTCAGAAGCTGTGTCTTGATAAGGAGGGTTTCGAAGAGAAGAAACCGGCTTATCTTGATAGCATGGAGAAGAAGTTGGAGATTTTAGACAAGTATATCGGAGACGGACCTTTTGTACTGGGGGAGAAACTGACTTACGTTGACTTCATGTTGTATGAGTTCGTGAGTCAGATAAGAAAAATGTCGCCAGAGCGTGTTGGTACAGCTGTGAATATTGGAAGACTTCTGAATGCTATCGAGGCTCTTCCTCAACTTCAGGATCACTTCAACAGTGAGCTGTACAAAACAAAGCCAATCCATCCTCCCTTCGCTGCTTTTACAGGCTTGGAATAGAATGGAACTTTGACTGTGCCCTCAAGTTTTCATAGCATGCTGTTTAATCTACTATACGATCTAAACTATTATCTTCGTTGTCAAGTTAATACTTAATAATGATATTTAACATTTCTTTAAGTTTATTAACTTTTATCCACAGTTATGAAGTTTGTGCATGATAAGTTAGATTTGTAGATTAATAAGTTTTATAGTGTTGTATTAAGGATAATTTGTATCGTTACTTATGACTATGTGTCTTTTATTTTAGTAGCTTTTATCTGTGTATTGTTTTTAAGTTTTATTGTTTGGCTGTGTTCATATTAATTGTTATGACTATATTATTTAGATTATAAACATTCATAGTTGTTTATGACTAGATTTAGATTACATGTAGATTGATATTATATATTATTGTATTACTACCTTACATTTAGTTGCGATTTATTATTGTGTAGCGATACAAATGTCAAGTGTCAACCTCGTTAATCGGAAATTCGCATCAAATTATACTCAAATTTGCAAATAAAATGTGTTGCTTACTCATCACTTAAAAACGATGCACTTCTCGTTGTGTCTCCAGTTCATTGTCTGATGTAATTATCTAATTAATTAATTCAATTGATTCAATTAATTATCTAACCACATTCCACTCTCACTAGGTAACATGTCTCTGAAGCTGTGCTACTGGGATGTACGTGCCATGGGGGACACCTCACGTTATCTCCTCCGGTACTCCGGGCTGGACTGGGAGGATGACAGATAGCCATGGTTGATGAGGGTTTCAAGCGGTGGGCCGATGAGAAGTTCGAGTCGGGGTTGGACTTGCCTAACTTACCTTATCTGATAGACGGAGATATCAAGGTTACACAGACTGTGGCTATCTGTCGATATCTTGGTAGGAAATTTGGACTGGTTCCAGGAGATGACGAGAAAGATATTGTGAAGTGTGAGATGATAGAACAGGAAGCTCATGATCTCCGTACTGCTTTTACAAAGATATGTTTTGAGAAGGAGGATTACGAGGGGAAGAAACCGGCTTATCTTGATGGCATGGAGAAGAAATTAGAGATGTTAGACAAGTATATCGGAGACGGACCTTTTGTACTGGGGGAGAAACTGACCTACGTAGACTTCATGGTGTATGAATACGTGAGCCAGATAAGAAAGATGGCCCCAGAGCGTGTTGATTCATTTTTGAACCTTGGAAGACTTCTGAAGGCTGTTGAGGAGCTTCCTCAACTTCAGGATCACTTCAACAGTGAGCTCTACAAAACCGGACCAATCCATCCTCCCTTCGCTAATTTTACAGGCTTAGAATAGGAAAATGTTTATATCTAATGTTCTTAGAATTTTATTAGATTTTAGGGGTATATTATCATTGTATTGATTGTTTTTAGGACATGGTTTTTGCCATCGTTGTTAAGTTACTACTGACCCTTCACATGTTATCAAACTTTTTTAAACTTGTTATCTACAGTCATTACTTATGCATGATACGATATTTTATTATTAGGATAAGTTTTATTATCATGGTCTTGTAAATGTATTTTTAGAGCAGATAATTAGCTTACATCTTTATACAGTTTTAACACAGTATCTTTGCTTTGGGTTCGTGATTTCTTAATTTGTAATGGTCAGACTTTTAATTATATAAAATGTTTGTAACGCTCTTGGTTTGCATTTTATTCGCGATTTATTATTATGTAGCGTAATTGTTGTAAACCTCATTTATCGTAATTTGATGTAATATACAGGGTGGCCCATAAAAGACTACCCATCCTTATCTCTTACAATTGTAACAGGTCGCTGAGATCTTGCTAATTATTTTATTTCAGAATGGAAAAGCGCCATAACTTACGTTCTGATTAATATTTTTGCTTCAAATTTTTAGAGAATGTCATTCATAATTAGACACAACTTCGTGCCAAGTTTTGTGTGAGTCTGAGCTTGTCTGACAAAGTTAGCTCCTGATCGTGCTAGCTTTAATTTCTCACCCAGAACTGTTTACATTGGTTAATAGGAACCACAAAAAAAATCCTGGGTAAAAAAATTAAAAAACCACCGATTTATTTATGTTTCACCAATTCTATTCACCATGATGCATCGCACATTCCATGTGAGAAGAACGATATAAACAAGCAGGAAGGATCATCTGTGATAGTCCTTATCAGTTAAAATATAGAGAGAATGGAATGTCCGATGGATCATGGTGAATAGAATTGGTAAAACGTGAATAAATCGCTGGTTTTTTGATTTTTTTTTACCCAGGATTTTTTGGTGGTTCCTATTAACCAATGTAAACAGTTCTGGGTGAGAAATTCAAGCTAGCTTGCTCAGGGGCTAAATTGGTCAAATAAGCGCAGTGAAGCTCGCACTCACACAAAACTTGCCACAAAGGTTTAGCTACTTTTTATTAACATTCTGTGAAATTTAGAAGCAAAAATATTTATCAGAACATAAGTTATGCCACTTTTTGTTTTTTAAATAATTATCAAGATCTCAACGACCTGTTACAATTTTAAGAGATAAGGATGGGTAGTCTTTTATGGGCCACCCTGTATCATTATCATAGTCAGAACAATTTAGTTTTTAGATGATATAGTTGTTTTAATATAGGCGGTAAACAAGCACATAACTTTCATTCCAATATTAAGATTTATTTACAGTGCCGATAATCGAAATAGCGACTGGGTTTGGGCCAGTTTATTATATCCACAATTTTCCAATTAGACCACATGTTCAAAATAACGAACATACACCATTTCCTCACCCCTACGTTCAGGAAGGAGCAACATGACGATAACATTGGGATACTGGGATATCAGAGCGAAAGGTGAAGCATGTAGGTATTTGTTGCGGTACTCGGGAGTGGATTGGACAGACAGACGGATAGAGATGACAGAGGAAGGATACAAAAGTTGGTATTCTGAGAAGTTGGAGTTGGGGTTGGACTTGCCCAACTTACCCTATCTTATAGACGGAGATATCAAGATTACACAAAGTGTGGCTATCTGTAGATATCTTGGTAGGAAATTTGGACTGGTGCCAGGAGATGACGAGAAAGATATTGTGAAGAATGAGATGATAGAACAAGAGGCTGTTGATCTCCGCGCTGCTTTCCAAGAAATACTTAAGAAAGACCAGTTTGAAGAAAAGAAACCCGCTTACTTTGAGAACTTAGAAAAGAAGTTGGAGATTTTAGACAAGTATATCGGAGACGGACCCTTCGTATTGGGGGAGAAACTGACCTACGTTGACTTCATGCTGTATGAGTTCGTGAGCCAGATCAGGAAACTCACAGCGGAACGTGTTGATAAAGCTGAAAACCTGGCGAGATTTCTTCAGATATTCCAGGAACTTCCTCAACTTCAGGATTATTTCAACAGTGAGAAGTTGGCAGCTGAAGTCCCTATCAACCCTTCTTTCTCTGCGTTTCCTGGTTAGTTAGTTATTAATGCTACTGCAATTTTCGTTAATGATACAATGAATAGCAGAACGTAATATCATTAACTTAGCTCATCTTGGGGATAAATTATTGTTTTAGTTTTTAAGTTGTTTTTTTCTTGGTTTATATTATGTTACTTAATTTATTTGTTATTGAGATGGGTGATTTGTTGATTTATTTAATGTACATTGTAACTGTAGAATTTTTTTTTCTAACAATTTTTATTCAAAATTCATTTAAAATTTTTGTTATTTCCTGCCGGTTTAATGTTTAAGTCATGAGACTTTTCATTTTGTAGTATTTATAAATTATTTAGATTGATGTATATTTGATTGTTTTATTGAATTTGTTTAAAAATATGGACATTGTCATCTCATGGAATAGACCCAAATCTTTCTTCAGAGTGTTTTATCGATAACTCCATCAATTTAGTAGAGAAGTTCAACGCTTTTCTAAATTAGCCTATTGGTTATAATTCGCATCATCATGCTTGATTTACCTTCTAAATTTCATCCTGTTCCGGTCTATATGTGCCGGATTTTTTTTATGTGCGCTGATTAGTCTGTAGTTTTAAAATTATCGAAGGGTCAAAGTTTATATTCACCTTCCCTCCGCCTAGTGATTTATCACAGGATTCGGGAAAGGAAAAAGACTTGAAAATCGGGGTGTACGGTAAACCGTGACTGGGTTTTGGCTGTATTAAAACTTAAAAGATGTTTATCAAACCTGATTAGTGGCTACACTGATTATGTGACCACATTATTTTATAACAACCTTTTACAATCACAAGACTATTTTTCACTGTAAAATCTTTGATAGGATGTGAAGATGAAAGATGGTGCTGATGTTTATCCTAACTGCTTTAGCTAATCTCGTCAACGCTCACAACCGCACCGCTAATACTCACGACCAGGTTAGTAACCACAACAACCGCACCGCTAATACTCACGACCAGGTTAGTAACCACAACAACCGCACCGCTAATACTCACGACCAGGTTAGTAACCACAACAACCGCACCGCTAATACTCACGACCAGGTTAGTAACCATGACAACCGCACCGCTAATACTCACGACCAGGTTAGTAATCACAAAAACCGCACCGCTAATACTCACGACCAGGTTAGTAACCACAACAATCGCAACGCTAATACTCACGACCAGGTTAGTAACCACAACAACCGCACCGCTAATACTCACGACCAGGTATGTAACCATAACAACCGACCTCTAAATTATCACGATCAGGTTAGTAACCACAACAACCGACCTCTAAATTATCACGACCAGATTCATTTAACCACAACAACCGACCTCTAAATTATCACGACCAGGTTCATTTAACCACAGCAACCGCCCTCTCAATTATCACGACCAGGTTAGTAACCACAACAACCGCCCTTTCAATTATCACGACCAGGTTAATAACCACAACAACCGCCCTCTCAATTATCACGACCAGGTTACCATCACGACCACAGCTTGTAGTGATAGTTTAGCACTGATAGTATTAACATTTAACAGTCTGCAAAGCCATCACATTTACGAACATAATCTGCACTAAGCAGATTGTAAGCAGGCATGACTTGACATTAATATAATTTTGCTGGTATCAGACTAGTGGTTCTCAAACCACTATAAAAGTATATTATACTGAACATATTTCATTAAAATTGTAGATATATTATTATATGTATTAGATCAGAGGATTGATATTAATACTTAAAAACGATTCATCTCTCTCTTACCCAGCAATACCGAATAAAGTATTAATTAGTGTTGATAAGGATCGTAAAGTAGGCGAAGAAAGTTTTATTTTTATCAGTTTTGTTATTTGTATTATCTACAGGAAATGGTTCTCTCTCAAACTTCTTGTTCCTCATCATCACATGATGAGCAAAGATTTTTCAGTGTTATTGAAAAACTTACAACACTCTACCACCATCAGTTAAAATGTGTTATACAGTGGATATGTTTAAAATTGGTTTAAAGACATACTTATTCAATTTGTCACAATATGATTTGGAAAAGCTCTATTCCTAGGATGTAATCAGTTGAATGGGTACATTTATTTGGATCTTAGTATCTCTTGTTGGTCCAAATTTTGGGACCTTAAGTTTTTATTCCGTGGCCAATTTTGTAGTTCTACTTATTCATACTGATCGAAAGGCCTAGCCAAAAAAGTTTCAATTTCTCACGTATTTCACAGAAGACATGTTAATTGAGGTTGATGTCTTGGTGTCAGTAAAATGGCAACGAAAATTTATATAATAGATATATATATATATACAAATCTCCCTAAGAGATTCTCTAACCATAAGAGTCACATAAAGAAAGGTATAAGAAGTTGTAAATTAGTTAACCATTTTTTAGATATTGATCATGATTTAGATTTTAGTACCATAGCCTCCTATAATTCCTCACTTAGTAAGCACCTTTCTGTCATTATAGTAGACGCTTTAGTATTTGAGCCTAATATTAGTAAAGCAGACAAAGAAAAGGCTATGGAAGCTAGAGAGGGGTTCTACCAGACCCAATTGAAAACCCTTGAACGGTTTGGGGGTATGAACACCCTTGATAGTAACCATATACTTTTTAGTTTTAGTTTTAGTATATTTTGTAGATTTTATTTAGTTATACCATTATTCCAGAGACGTGCATATTACATTTTTTACTTAAGTATAAATTTTACAGGTTTTTTGTTGTGATTTTAAGTGATTTTCCGAGAATCAGTTATCAGTATTTAGATAAGAGATAAGATAAGAGTACATTTTTAACGGCTTTCAGTTTCTTTTTTAAATTTCAGTTCATCAGATTTTCCCACTGCTTTTAGTTTGTATTTATTCTCAATTGTATATGATTCGTATTTGTTGTAGTTACTTTAATGATATAATTTCTCAGAATTGATGTAAATAAACGATGCAAAGACTTTCGAAGATCTAATCACAACCGCTTTCTTTTATTGTGTAGAAGTCCAGCCATGAAATATATATATATAGTCATAGATATAATATCGTTTCACTTTTTATATAGTAAGATTAGTAGGTAAATAGTTGGGAGTTATAAGCTTAGACTTTGGTGTGCGAGGTTAGAATTGTCGCTTAATATCAAGATACGGTTTTATTTAACTGAATTTATCGCTAAATTATACCATTACGAGTAACGTTGTACTAAGTTGTTCGATTTGTACTTTGCAAGTGAGCTAGTGGTAAATGAAGGTCACGTTTCCTCCGCCTAATGAGGTTAAGTCTAACAACTCACAAATATTCAACCCACATTCCATACCGACAGTTTTCACCCCGACAGTATGAATTATTTCCAACGCTTTACATCATACATAGCTAAGTATACAACCTTAGCAAGTTTAACTGTTTCTTTAAAATAAAGTTACCAGCAAACCACTTAGACACAGTTAGACACGAACGCATATTATACTGGACATATTTGAATAAAATTGTAGATATATTATTACATGTTGAGATTGCTATTAATGCCCAACAATACTGAATATAACAGGTCCATGTTTAGTATTTAGTGCTGATAAGGATTGTAAAATAGGCGAAGAAAGTTTTATGTTTAGAAGTTTTTGTAGCGACTGTTCATGTTGACGTGGAATTAGATGAATTAGTGAGTAAATAGTTGGGAGTTATAAGCCTAGACTTTCATGTTTGAGGTTAGAATTTTCGCTTTATATTAGAATATGGTTTTATTTTACTGAAATTATACCGATGCGAGTTTAGTGTACATTCTTGTACTAAGTTGCTTGATTTGTCCTTTGCTAGTGGTAAATGAAGGTCACGTTTCCTCCGCCTAATGAGGTAAAGTCTAACAACTCACTAATATTCATCCTTGTCTCAGCAACCCACTTTCCATACCGACACTATCCATCCCGACAATTTCCACCAAATATTTTAAATAGTTGAACTGTGTCTAAGGACTCACTTCAAATTCGCTTCAGGTTGAGTTGAGTCTGATAATATTTGGAATATCATTGGGTGTTGTTATCATGGCTGCTATCTACGGTAAGTTATATCATACTTAACCTAACTGTAACCTTACTGTAATTTGTAGCAGAACATTCCACAGATGCAACTTATTGTTTGAAATGAAAATCTTAAATTTAAATTGGATAACAATTTCAAGTTGCTTTATTATTTTTACCTAAAATGTATTAGTGAACACTGTATATTGTTGGTCAGGTAATGCGATGGTGTGTACAGTTCTTCTAAGAGACAAGAGGCTGACAGACCACAACGATTAGAAGTTACCTGCAATAACTCAGCTACGGTTGTCATACCAACTGTTAGGCACTGGATGTTTCCATAGCAACACAATTTATGTTACATATATATAATGTTTACAAAAGACGTTTACAGTTGATTATATACAAAGTATGTTGATTGTTGAACTTTAATTAACATACTGTTTACTTAAATTTCCAGTTTTATATTAAACTTTCAATCCACATTAAAAGTGTTTAACATTAAACATTATATGAAGGTAGTTGCTATGGTGACACGACGATTTTATCAGACGAACGCGGGCGTTGCTAAATTTATAGTTTTACAGTAATTAACATTGTCACATTTGGTTTATAGAATGTTAAGTTATAATTTTCTTTATAGATCGCAGTGTCGGCGCACATTACGATTATCTAAACGATTAGTCAGAAGTGTTACAATTAATTAATGTTAAATCAGTTTACAGTATAGCTAGTGGGAATTTAAGGGTGTTGATTGAAAATTGATTAATGAATATTTTTGGCAGTGGCACCGTTATTAAAATTGTATCGAAAGTAATAATAAAGATACAAGTGCCTCTGTTACGATTTAAATTTGTTACTTAAATATAAAGATGGTTTTGTAAAGCAGCACTACCAGTATATTCGTATATTGAGGGAATTGAATGTGCCCTACACACACGTATATGACAGAGTTTATCGCATTTACAACAGTATTTACTACTACTAGTATTTACTATCATTGATTATAGATGATTGATATAGTATGAGCTATAATGAGGTGTAATCTTCACGTGTTAATTTATTACAGTTTTCTGCTCGCAGAGTAAAACTAATTGTCGGTGATTGTCAATCATTTATTAAATTTAAACGGAATAGAATTGTTTTTAACTTCTAATTTTTCTAGCGAAATCTACAATCTAACAAAAACAATTGAAAACGTCTGGATAGGACAAGATTATGGATTAGATTTTGACATATCTGTGTATGTTATTGTCGATTTCGTTTATTTTGCGGTAAGTGTTACAAGTTTTGGTAGGAAAATACTTTA